AGTAATAACGAGTGCATTCGATGACCAAATGAGAAGGCGGCGATGGATACCCAAGACAATGTGATTAACTCTTGATAAAGTAAAACTCCCTAGAGTATGAATATAAAAAAAAAAGTTGAAGCTACTAATACAGTAGTCAGCTTTATAGTGATGATTTTTAAAAAGATAAATTTGAAAACTGGGCAATATTGTTTACTTACGGGAACAAGAAAATTGGTTGGGATAGCGGAGTACCGTAATAAGATTTTAGTAGAAAGCTAATGGACTTCCGCGATGCATTTTCCATCATGAAATGGAAGAATTTTGTAGAACATTTTCCCACTTCATCTGATAGAAAATTCAGCCAGTAAGAAATTTATCTGCTACATCACAGCTTCATCAAAAACGCAATTCTCTACCCTGATCCAGACGATTTTAGATACGTTTCGCCATATTTATTTGCAGCGTTTGTTAATATTGTTAGGAGAAAACCTTAATCTTTCATTTTGCAATATTTAAAATTCCGGGTATCATACAGCGTTTCTATAGTATTCTCTTGTCATTTGTAAATTAGTAAAGAAAACATTTAATGACAACGCTAGAAAAGGATAGTTCTTCTTGGCAGCAATACAAAGAAAATCTGCCGAGTCACTTTAAGGAAGCTGTAGAGAGTCAAATTTAAATACAGTACTTTCTATTGACCATATTGGCACCCAGAAAGTTCTGAAAAATAAAAATTTCAAGGATTCATGTGACGGAGGAGGCGATTCTAGAGGCATGGATAGAAAATATTCCATGCCAAACCACGGGACCAGGTAATTTTTGGAATTTAAAGGTTTACAAAAGTGAACTTATCCATTCCATTTCCCGATTTTGAACAAAAAGTCTAGTTTAACAGTTTAACTTCATTCATATTTTCTAAATACTTTCAATAGGTACTTGACGAATCGAGGAAATATTTCGGGAATTTGTTTCCTATTTTCAGAATAATTGGTATGTAAGTCAATTCTTAGGTTTTTGAAACGTTACTCTGTTGTTCCTCCACTGATGGGTCCATATCATCACAGCATGGTGGAGATGGAAATGAAAATTTCGTTGCCATTCGCCACATGCTAGAAAAAGACCAATCCTGGACTTTCGCAAAATACAAGAAAACCGAAGTGAACTCGAGCAGCAACAAAAACGCATGCCACTCAGCTATGATCGCTCAGGTTGGCAGTCGCTGCAACCTTTTAGTCATAAAATATACTTCCTTGTGCATGTTAAGATACAGCATTTCCCTGTTCAGTTATCAAGTTTTCGAAAGATAAGTTCGGTAGGGAACAGTTTTTTCCAATTTCCGAAAAATTAATTCCAGTATGCGTCCACCAGGAAGAAAATCATGCAGGTGCATTTTTCTGTTGTGAGAATTGCTTTTCATAAGAACAGTTTTATCATATCCGTAAGGATACTCAGCATCCACGTAAAAATAGAAGATATATACTTCGGTGATGGCTGGACTACATTCGCGAGAGTGAATTGATGTTGCTGCAGTGATATTTAAGCCAGGTATTCCAAGTGACACGAGAAAATCATGCACACAAAAACATGTTGCTCGTGCTCTGCATCATTGCAAAAAGCTTCACGAATGCGCAGAAGACCAATGAATCACTTTGAAAATGCTCACCATAAAGGATAAATGTTCTCTGACAGTTAAACTGCCCAGGAAAAGATCGTCTTGATAAAGGAACCCGCTCAAATATGCCATCGTCGTGGACCTCGGGCCCCCCACGTTGATCCCGTTAACGAACACGTCCCCCTGAACGCGCAGCTCCTTCGGAGCACGTTGCCCCAGAACTTGCAACAAAGACGTTTTCCCAGCTCCACTTGAGCCCATTATAGCAAGTACTTTTCCTGGCTTCGCATATCCAGACACTAAATAAAATAGGTAATGTAGTAACGTAAACCTGTACAATCATGAACAAGAAGCATTATCTCGGTAGTCTAAAGCGATTCCAGAATCCGACCACGTTTACAATAAATAAAATATTCAACACCTATCTTCGTCCCTTACAAAATAAAACAAAAAAATAACATAATGGAGATTTTTCTAAACAAAAAAGCACATGTCCTCATTGCGATAATTCGCGTTCGTTGAAAATCAATTAAAACGGGTCTTGAAAAATCCCGTCACCGATGGACGCATTTATTGCACGAACAGCACAGAAGCTATAGAAACTTCAAATATGTAAAAAAAATCTATTAATTTAATTCCAATACTGAATAACATTGCATGCAGGCACTGCATTACCTGGGTAAATACATCTTTCACACGAATGCATACGAACTGAAAAGTTGAGTCATTTTCAAGAAAATTTGATTTGTCTCACCATGGCGAATAGCGTGCTTGAATTCGGTAGAAGAGTTTCGCCCGAAGGGAAGCCAGTTCCGTTTCCGATTCAAAACCTTTTCACTTGCGCGGCGCGGGACCTCGACGGTGATATCCCTCCACGTCAACGAAGCAGTTCTTGATTTGTCTTCGCAATTGTTCAGGCTGCGTTCGTACGAAGAGCTTTCGCCGAAGTGCAGAAGTTCGGTGCTCGTCGCCGACGATCCGTAATCCTTTTTGCTTCCAGAAGATCTCTCGGTGCTTGAAAAAGACGCCTATATGTACACACGAGGATGACATCATCATTGCCACTAATGAATCCCTTCCACTGCAAAGACGCAATATGAAAACCTCACCGCCGATTGTAAGCACAATGTATCGTCTGGAGGCGGACGCTGTGTCCCCAGCAGTTCATCTCTTTCACTCATATCCTCGCGTTGCTGCGGATGGCCAGAAACGAAACTTGAAGTATTTTAATCGCACTTCAAACTTCAGATTGACGGAGGTTTCCACCTCGGGCACACGAACGATATTAATTGCGCAGTTGCAGTCCACTTAGCGACAACGATGCATGATGTACTCAAATCCAAGACTTGCAGGTCTTGCACACTAAATCGCGCCTGCTGGACACTGACTGACTTGTTAAAATCTTCATACAAAGCGGGCATGGGAGTTCAACGCTGTCGCTCTCGTTCTACCATTCCACACCCGGGAAGTCCAAGGCGATGTGCTTAGCAGCAGGGATGATGCGCCCAACTCCGGCTTCAGCAGGTTCATGGCGACTGGCGAGCCACTGTTGAAATGAAGAAGGATCAAAGGGCATCAACTTCGGTTGCTCGTTTCATAGATCAGAGTGAATAGTGTTACCGGATGGTTTCATGTACACACAGTACAGTACAGTATTTATTTGTGAAATAACAATTATTATGGGACTTTTTTATGATGAAGTTTCATTCAATGGCAACTTTATTCTATGTCCCTTTGAGATTTCCAACGAAATTTCTTCAATGAATTGTGTTCATCATAGAATGCCTTAAAATAGCTAACATTACCTTGCAATTTGACCACCTTGAAATTTGTCCATCCCTCAATTTGATGGTTGAATTTGTGGGGTCATTTGACTTGTGATTTGACCTCTGCCCCACAATTCAACAATGGAGAGGCACAGAAATGTCAAATACAATGTAGAAAATATTGCTTTTGATGTTGCTTTGCAATTCGACTGTTTCACAATTTCACAATGTTTCACCCTAGTCCAGCAACAGATTAGGGTCAAATTGCTGGGCACCGCCTGTACTCAGAAATGAGGTGAAGCATGGTCAACACTACTAAAAATATCAAAACAGCTTTTATCCCTTTGAAAAATGTTGCAGCATGAAAACCACTTTTTAAATGATTTATTTTTCAAAGCAGCAGGGGTTTTCAACCCAAAACAAAAATCGTTGGCAACTCCATATAGTCCAGAGTGCAAATTAAGAATTCTTTTCATATAGACAAGATAAAATTAAAAAAATTTTTAAAGTGAAGATGGTGCTGTTACACATAGCAGCACTTGCGTGAGTAACATTTTAAATACATTTTAAAAATTTAAAGATGTAATGGTCAAAAGGTTCATAAAATTCTGAAATAGCCAATTTAATTCTTGATACAATTGATTAATATTATTGATAGTGATAGCTTGATAGTATTGATGTGTCTATTCATGTGTCCCTTCTTCTTTGCTGCCCGAAATTGTCCGTACATTATACTGTACTTGTTTTATTTCCCTTTATAATAATTTTAAAGTAAGTTAAGCATTAGTAATGTATATTGAAATTTTCTTGAGACCTAAATAAGTCGCAGTTTGCATGTTGCGTATATTCTTCCGAGGGAGGATTATTCTAAATGAAAGGAACGTTGTGCAGCTTCAGTACATGAGTACAGTAATCGGTATCCAGCAATGAATGAGAGGAAATATCTGAAAACTTCCGTTTGGGCAGCGAAACATCATGGGCAACCTTTCTGGTTGAATGCTGACCATAAGACAGATCCGCTGTCTCACTTGCGAAGGTTCTCTCTCAGACTGTGCTAGGCGGACAGGAAGGAACCACATCACGCCCGCCTGTTTCCGACTGGGAGGATAAAAGTTCTTGGGATGAGTTGTCTTGATTCTTATGAGGAAAACGCAGCAATGAAACGATCTTATTAACATGGGGGATGTGCAACAGGTGCTTAAGCCTAATTAGTACCGCATACCTCAGATTGGACCATGTACTGAAGAGGGGTCCTAGGAATGGTTTCCTACTAGATTATCCCACATTGTTGGACCCAAAAGGATTAAACTGTCTGGTTCTTCCCCTGGAGGCTGGGATGAGGGGGTCCGTTTTTTTCTCTGTTCATTCTCTCATTGCTATAGGTACATTGGCAACCGTGCTCTGTTTTTTCGGGACATTGCATTTAATTCTGTAATATTCTATTGTCATCAATATTTTAATTCTTATAGCATGTTTGTATAACACTTCCTTCAGCCACCAACTGTAATAATTTTTTCATGATCCACTTCCAATTCCATGCCATTTATCACAAGGACTGTACAACACAAAGTGAATATAAAAAAGGTACACCAATAATTCAAGCACAACACAAAATAAATTTACAGAGGGTACACCAATACAACACAAAACATTTTAATTTTCCTCTTCATCAACCAGGAGTTCCATTTAAATTATATTTATCAAATGTTGCAACTGGGGCAAGGTCAAGGCGATTTTTTTTACACCAATCAAAGCAGACGTGCGCTGAAGATATGTTCTCATTGTTTGCGGATAAATAACCAAAGTGTATTCCTCATAAGTTGAATTCATTTAGGCAGCATTCAAAGAATTGGTGAACTTTGTACTTAGGCGTATTTAGTATTCCTTATATTGTATATATACCTGAGACTTGGAGGAAAGTTATGGTACCCCTTTCGAAAAGACTGTATCCTTAACTTCACGCACAATTTGAGGGGTCTTGTGGCTGGCACACATTTCTGAGGCTGGTGCCCAAATCTCCTTTCTTCTTGAATGGTCCAACCAGCTTAATCCGTCTACTGACCACAATGGAAAATGAGCTAGTGGGAAACCATTCCGGACACCCTAAAGAGGAAGCCTACGACAAATTTCTAAATGATGGTTAGCAGCTGTGATTGGTACAAGAAAAGTTTATTCAACGACATTCCATCAATAAAAGCACCGGGAATCAAAAATCGTCATATTAAAAGAAACCAGTCCAAAGCACCAATATACGAATGAATCAAACACTTCGAACACGTTTCGACGACCGGGGGAAAAATAAAAGACAGAACACGTTGAAACAGAACCAAAAATACTGAACATGCCGCAATAAATTCTTGACACAATAATAAGTTCTGCAGTTAGATCCAAGCTCAGGCATTTACAAGTCTCTGCTGAAGACATTGGCATTTTATCACGGAATTGAGCTCATTTGGAGACAGGAAACACATACAGAAAAATTGCACCTCGTGTTTTAACCGTGATTGGAAAATCAGGAACGCCGCGCTTTCAGCAACAGCAAAATATACGCGACTACGTGGAATCCCAAATACTGAGACACCAGGAAAACGATGTTGTAATTGAAATTCAATTCGTCAAAAGTGTACTTCTGTAGCACTTCTTGTCCTGTTGACAGGCAGCCTTGTTTCGTCACTGTCACGTTCCCGAAACTTCCTCCACAATCTGCAAGCATAAAGAAGAAAAAACCTTAAAATGGTAAAGCAAAAAAAATTAGTGCACTCTATAAATAGTGATTTTTAAAAAATTGCAGCATCGCCAGAATTTTTCCTGAATACCGTACTCTACCAAGATTTGTTTTTCAATTATTTTACTGCACTCTCAAAGTGTTGATATCGTCTGTTATCAATGAAAATGTCTGCCACCGATTCGGAACAAAATCGATCAATTTATTGCATGCAAGAGTCTCTATAATTAAAACGAAATACCTCAAGAATAGATCTAAGGCATTTTCCATGTTCAGTTGCAAATTTGGAAGGAATTAGGACCTCGAACACATGCTAAACGGTAATTACTCTGAACTCATGCATTAAGTGATGAATCGCAAAATTGATGTTGGTGGTGAATCGCATTGGTTATTTTTTTCCTTTATGAAAGGGAACACAACCAAAAGAGTTGAAAATTGAAGGCAAAATACATAAGGTGGGGAATTATCCCGACGCTCTTTTAAAATTTTGAGTACTTGATTCTGATCGGTTTTCCACTAAAAATTAAAATTGGCTAAAATGTAACTGTGCAACGAAGTCAGAGGATTTCCCATCACACATACAGTGCTTCAGCAAATAAGGCATTAAAGATAAGCACGAAATATGTTTTCCGTTTATAATTTTTTTTCAGAAAGTGATAATGCTATAAAACTGTACAGTATTGTACATAGAACTTGTGGATAAACTGAATAAAATGTATGACTCACCGAAAGTGCGGTTTCCACCAAACTGCGTGATCATCAGATTTTCAAAGCCGTAATGAAACCAAGAAATAACTCCAATCCATTTTATGTACGGCGACCAAGAACTGGATGAAAATCAAAACGTCCATTAGAAAAATACGCCTTTTGGAAAAAATCAAAAACGTACTTCAAGTTGAAGAAATATCCACCGAAGCTCGTCAAAATGTAGATCAGTGGATTTGCAATTGTCACGGGCAGCGCCATGTTTTGAAAAGGCGCTGAAACCATGGCACCTGCAGATTTTTTGGCACACATTTCTGCACGTCATTATTTGACAATAATAAATGGTTCATAAGTGTTTCAAGTTATTTCCTCGTTGTATTCAGGATTTTCGTTAGATGAATTGATTGATCGTAATCTTTACGGAGTAATTTTCTTGACCCTTGTTCAAAATTTTGCTCACCAAGTTTGAAATACAAATAAAATTAAGCATCTCAAAAATAAGGTTCGCTCGACGAATTTTGATGTCTTATAAATGTCTGACAAAATAATTGCTTCCAACTATTTTGATTCGTCGAAAATTGTTATTACAGTATTAAGAATGCACAAACTCATCTGCCAATCAAATTTTCTGCTCATAAACATTTTCGTTTTAGCAATACTGTATATTTGGATGCAGAGGTTGTCCATTATTTATACAGTTGCTCCATAATAAGTTACATAAGTTAAGATTATTGGAATAAAATAAAATGCTCAGTTTGAACATGATCACAAAATTCATACTCAGAAACTTGCAAGATCAAAATAAGATATTACAGAGGACATTAGTTAACAAATTTACGATTAGTTTCCGACAAAAGTTTGTAATCCAAATTTGATTTTCCCTTAGACTTCAAAGGAGAACCAAATAATATTTTCCTGGCACCCAAAATGAAACATTTTCAGTACAACTATATACTGTAATCAGAATGAGTTACTGTACCATACCCCATGTATAGTATGTTTACAATGTTTTGTAGGGTTGGATGAAAGTATAGGTGATACCTTGCAATTTGACCCTAATCCATTGGTGGACTATATAGGGTCAGATTGCAAAGCAGTCAAATTGCAAGACAGGATCAAATGGCATGTTTTCTAAATGGCATTTGAAGTTTCATGTCTCTCCTCAGGTCACATTGCAAGGCAGAGTTCAAATTAAGAGTTGACCTCTCAACAATTTCAACTGTTGAATTCTTGGATATATGGTCAAATTGCACGGTACCACTTGTACTGTACACTATTCAACTTTAAAAAAACATTTATACAGTGTCTAATATATGTACAAGAAAGAAAAAAACATCATACCGAATGCAGACGCAGTATTGGCAATCAGGAGAACAGTCAATAATGTTTGCCCGAAGTAGTACAACCCTGGTCTCAAGTCGGCGATGAGATACAAGATAGTTACGTAAGTAATCGTCTCAATCACGAATCCCGGAATCTGCGGCGGCAATATCAATTCATCAACATTCCATATGCCGTGTCATAACGAGAACGGATGAAAGAAAAAGAAGAAATAAACCAGTACACAGACCATGAACAACGCTTTGGAAACGTAGTAAGAATGCACAGAGTAAAGGTGCGAGCGGAATTCTCGAAGGAAAACGTTGATTTGCCGCGGAAATATGTTCATGACTGCGTTTGAATTCGGGAAAGTATTGTCAGCCACGGTGAACCACATGGCGCCAGTCAATGCTTGGATCCCGGGCTGGTCCGGGGCCATGTTTGTGAACACCAATGAAGTAACCAATACCATCATCTTTACGTGTAAATAATGAGAAAAAAAATATATTCAAGAGATTAAGTCAACACTATTCGTTCGACGATGACATGCGTATTTCCAAGCTCACAAATCTCTCAAACAATCTCGGTTTGTTCATGAACGTGGGATTTCCTCGTGCGTCCTGAGCAGAACGAATCATCAATGCCCACATTTCCCACCAAAAAGGGACCGGCACCCTTCATAAAATGAAGAAAAAAGAAACTTTAAATATTATTCTCACGAACAACATAATAAATCTAACGACTCACTTCTTGAGATTTTGAAGTTCGCTTTTGCCATATGCCTAAGTAAAAAAAAGGGCAACAAAACTTTCATGATGATTACAAAACCGCGAGAACATATATATGAAAAAGTGAAATGTTTTCACTCACCACGGTCGAACACATTTTCTCCACTGTCTTCGATCTTTTTCTGCCGTAATTAGAACTATCGAAATTATCGCAGATAGCTTGCATTTGTTCCAAGGACCTTGGAATGTCTTTCCTTTTGAGACTCAAAACCGACATGTAATGATCCGCAGGGTTGAACGTTAATGGGCACGGATAACCCTCCCTAATTAAAAAAAAGGACAATCAACGTTCGCTCACCAGGAAATACTAAAATTATTTTCTTCATGATTGCTTCTGACCAAAATTTGTGGAAGGAAGATTATTTTAAAATGCAAAAAATGTTGTATTTACATCCATGCAAGTTCGTATGCGACCGAGTTAGAATTATAATTTAATTGGGAATTAATTTTGGAGATTAGGCCGGTATTCCCATGAGTTGAAAATTCCATTGAAGTTCACACGTGTTGAAATATTTGAATCTAATGCGAGTGCATCTGCAATTTTAAAAAATTGGTTTCATTTGTTCCCAGCAATTAAAATAGGGCATAAGTCGCATAATAATTGTTGACGTGATTGTCTCCAAATATTGCAGTAAATACGGATTTGAGGAGCATAACTATATCAGGTAGACCCTCTCTACAAGAAAAATTCAAAGGTTCAGAATAAAATTCCTCAAAGAGAGGATTTCGTTGTAAAGAATCCCTATATACTGTACTGTAACATGAAAAGAGGATGGGACCAAACACAAATTCGTCATATTGTACGGATAAATCGTCGTTAACAAGATCGTTTCAGTAAGAGAGTGCACCTGTACAGTATAATAAAGCTGCAAAGAATCGAAGAATGAAAAGGACAGATGTGTCCTCAACCCGAGGCGATGAAAACCACCATGCATGTTCTGATCGATTATTTCGCGATAAAAAAGTTATATTATGCGCAAAACAGTTGCTGGTAGCCTTAAAAAGTGTGTGCGATTTAGAAATGGATTCGATGGAAAAGTCTCCTCGTATACAGTACTTTACATCAAAAAGAGGTTGAGACGTAAAACATCCGAGTGCCCATAAAAAAATTAAATTAAGATGACATGACGTACTTCTTGAAGAAATTGAGGGCGTCCTTCGGCTTGCCATGAAATGCAACACGTCCTTCGGCCAGCAACATTATCTCATCGAAGTATGAGAAAACAGAAGAAGACGGCTGATGTATGGAGCAAATGATGGTCTTCTGAACGGTTTCTCCACTGGCTGGCAATTCCCCACAATGCGTTAGTCCCCGGGAAAGGAAACTCATGCATTTCACAATTCTCTCCGCGGTCCAACTGTCCAATCCAGAGGTCGGTTCGTCGCAAAATAGAATTGGTGGATCGGTGAAAATCTGAACGAGTGTGAAAGAAAATACACCAGTGCTGCTGTGGTTGTCAAATTTCTTTGCAAGCTCTACTACACAAAGTTTTTTATGGCGGAGTGATGATACCTGATGGTACAAAGTGTGCTGGAATTAATTTGCAAGTCTTTAAAACAAAATAAGCTTCTCATCATTACAAACTGAAGGTACGTATATTATCAGAAAAAACCCCGCCCACATTAATTTAAAAATAAATTTCGGAAAAAATTGGGATTTATTAGAAATTTTTTTTATTTGATGAAGATGATTTTACAGCATTTGGTTTCGAATTTCCAACCAAGAAATATTCAAGATTATCAGCTGCTTTCTACATTCACAGTGCACAATTTCCCATGAGAAGGTTACATGTTTTGAACGGTATTTATTATAAAAAAAGCATTGACACAAAAATGTCTGACAATGTTTTTTCTTGAAAGCCACCCCACAGCAGCTGTACTGTATTTAATTGTAAGTCTTTTTCCTGGCCTAGTTTCTCAATATATTTTTCAATAATATGTCTAATTGCAGAGAGTGACTTTGTATTAGTACTTTTATTATCTTAAGGCAGAATGGGATAAAAAAAATTTTGAAGGTGAACATTTCTAACTAAAACCTCCGAAGGTCTGTACGGTACATAAGAACCCCTATGTATGTCCAATTTTTTGTTTTCCCCGGTCTGAATTCCCTGAAGAACAGACGAAATAGGGTAATCTAGATTTTAGATCTCCTTCATTCAACCCCCCCCCCCGCCATTTCCTAAACTTCAATAACTTGAATTTTTTAGGTCTTTGGGTTTATTATTCTGGGGACCGAGGAAATGAAACCATGCTTTGTGAGTGACTAATTAATTAGAGAAATTGACCCTTCCCTTCAAAGTTTAGCGTTCAGCCTGTCAACAAATTAATTCAGCAGTTTGAGGCACGGAAAAGATCACCAATTATTTTACCTTCCTGTAATATTTGGAATGTTTTGATTTTTTCACGATAAAAAT